GTTCTTCTTCCGTTCATCATCCAGATTCAAGATTTTCAATAGCTTCAAGAGTGATTAGGAGTTCGAGATTTGATGAGTAGCCTCCGTTCAAGATTTGACGTAAACCTAAGGCTCAATCCACTTCCACCATAGGCAAATTGGAAACGGAGTTGAAAGAGAGATCTTGAGGAAGGTTAGGGTAATGAAAGATGGAGGTCTGTTGGTTTTTGTTTAGTGAGTCGTTTGGAGCGAGTTGAAACGGTGAGAGGGAGAGGACAGAGAAGGAGAGATGAACAGTGATGTGGGAAAACGGCGAAGTAGGGTTTTAGAGAGTGAGGGAAGTGAGGAAGGGAATGGGTTGGAGTTTGGGCCTCAAAGCCCAACGAATTTCTGATCCATACACCCCATTTCACTCTTCCACCCCCTGGCTGATGTGTTTCTTTTTTGTTACAATTTTTGTGGGCTGGGCCCATTGTTTTATTGTGACACCCCCTGTACCAATTAGTACCCCCCCTGCATGTTATTTTTGTTAACATTGTTTTTATTACAATTTTAATTTTAATATTTTAGGGATAGTTTTATATTTTGTTTAGAATATTATAATTCATGGAATAGAATTTTTAGGTATATTTTCTTTTAGGAATTTAATTTCTTTTAAAGAAGATTTAGGATTTATTTTAATTTCTTTTAAAGGATAGAATTAAATTTAGTTTTAATTTTCTTTTAGGATATTACTTTTAATTCATATTTTAGTGTAGGAATTTACCTTGTAATTTTCAATTGCATACTCTTGTAATATTTTCTTTTTAGGATATAGTTTCCGGTAGAATTTAATTGTCGTATTTTAGGAGTAGACTATTATTTCCATTTTGTGTTGGATTTCTCTCCTATTTTCTTTTCTATCCGATTTTATTCTCGATTTCATTGTTGGTTGGTCGTGTGACACGATTCAATTGGAGAATGATTATCGATATCATTTCTCTATCTTGTCTTTGACACGGACATCAATACGCTACCTCTTAGAGTTCGATTTCTCGTATAAGTCGAACCATGACGGTCTAAGCGTTACATTGGTTCTGATTCGAGCGTCCTCATCAAGGATCCAGAGAGGAGAAGATTGGAATGGAGCTTGCGCGCATGTCGAGAGCCAACGGAGCCGCTTCGTTCAACATCATCATCTTATTCAAGTCTTCAGGCAACTGTCGAGTGTTGTGAGCTGTATCGTTAGATACGTAGGAAATGACAGTTGAGGAGTTTCTTCTCAATCGTCTAGGGTGTCTAGTATGGTACCCTTTGGGTGACATGCGACGCATTCGCTCCTACATCTTAGGTTCTTGCGTCTGTGTCCCGAGTTCCTTCCTGTTTAGGCGTAGGCCTGCTTCCTCTTTGTTCTCGCCCCCGTGCGATCGAAACCCCTTTTCTCTCGCGTTCAGGCGATCGAGACCCCTTCTTTTGCCCCCGTGCAATCGAGACTCGTTTTTCCGTCGAACTACGTTTACTCTGATCTCTCGTGCCAGACGAGAGTACGTAGGCATAGGATGCGATATCCTAGCGAGCTCCCTTTTACCTTCTTCTCGTTTCCCCGTTTGTTGTAGTAGGCTGAAATACAGCTGCTCTGATTTCTCATATCGAACGAGAATATGTAGGCATAGGATGCGATATCCTAGCGAGTTCACTAACAACTAAATTCTCTGTTCTCTCGCTGCCGTGCGATCAAGACTTTCCCGCTGACGACTAATGTTTCCCTTTCTCTTGCCCTTGCGCATTTGAGACCAGACCGTAGTTTTGAGTTCCGTAGATCCCCGTACCTCTAAAGCCAACTTAATCTCTCACTCCTGTGTGATCGAGAACATCCTGTCTAGCCGTAGTTAGCCTGAACTACGTAAGCTCTGATCTTTCACGCTATGTGGAAGTACGTAGGCACGAGACGCGATATCTTGGCGAGCCAATTCCCTGTAGTTTCCCGAACTACGATGACTCTGACTTTCTCTCTTGAGAATACGTAGGCATAGAGTGCGATGCTCTATCGAGTCAGTTTCTTTCCGTTTAGCCTTAGCATCCGTAGATAGATTGTTTTTTCATCCTTTAGACAAACCAACAAGCGTGGATCCCGTCGAGTACGACGGACGTGAGGGGTGCTAATACCTTCCCCTTGCGTAACCGACTCCCGAATCCAGGATTTGGTTGCGATGACCATTCCTTTCTTGTCTTTGCGGTAGGTTTACTTTGAGCGTTTCCTTTCCCTCTTGTGGGATAAATAACGCATGGTGGCGACTCTTCTGTTTAGCCGGCGCCGATTTTCGCAGTAGCGACACAACCCCCTTACCCATTCTCTGTTTGCTCTTGTTTTAGAACTCTTTGGGTTTTGTTCGCTCTTTTTCCTTTTCTTTTGGATAAAATAAAAGTGTGATGGCGACTCTTACATTTTGAGTTAAGTTAATCAATAGCTTACACTCACAAATTTCCCCACTACAAGGATCAATGAGTTTTACAGCTTACTAGTCATGCCTTCAGCAACCCTTTTTTTTCTAATGGTGCCCCCAAAAGGAATTTTGTAATTAATTTTCCATAGAGACTTATACTCTTTTTGTTTCTTATGGATCTGAATGTTAGTTTGTATACTTTCTTTTTATTTATGTGGATTATTTCACAACATAGTTTTTCATTGTAATGTCATGGATTCCTTTGAACATGTTTTTTCTGTTATCCTGGAGAACAAGGATTCCCGCTTGAGGATGCTAATGTTGCCATAGGGGCAACAACGATTCCTACGATAGGATCCAACATGTTTGATCACATTGAGAGGCGGAAAGGATTTCTTTACTTACAGTTTCTTCCAAATAAAGCAGTAATATTCCAAATTCATATAATAACATGAGAGACGTCATTAAAAACCTTCGCGCCTTGTTGAAAGCACAAAGTAAAAGAGTTCTCATTACTAAACAAATAGTGTTATAAATTGAACCTTACAAGCGACACAAATTTTAATTCGGCTAAATAAATCAAATAGTAAATGAAACTAAGTTAAACATGGCTTGATGTCAAAATGATTAATATCTTTTAACAAAGATCTTTTCTTTCTCATTTCGTGCCTTCTTGGGATGGAGCAATCAGGTCTTCATCCCCAGGAGGTTCCTATCAAGACTTGTTCCCGAGCTTCACACCCATGTACCTAGTATTCTCCAGCTTTGGACTCTTTACGTAGCACATCTTGGAGATCTCTTGATCTCCTTGGATAACCCTGACTCGCCCATCAGACAGAGGGCACTTTATGCATAAATATAATGTACATAGGGTGGCTAACATCTAGGTTGAATGCGGGCCACCATATAATCATGTTGTATGATGAATGAGTATTTATGGCAAGATATCTCACCCTAATCTTCTTGGCGTTTTCCTCAGCTCCTAACATGGTCTTTGTGTTATATATCCTTTCACCTGCACTTCCTAACCTGAAAATTCCACCAGTTATCCTTGGATAACTTTGAGGTCATCTAAGTCTAGGTGAAACCTTAAAAGCATCCCAATAAAGGATGTCTATAGAGTTTCTTGATCAATTATTATCCTCTTAATCTCCTAATCATCACACCTAACGATGATAACCATATGATTGTCGTTATGTGAGTGACTTACTAGAGCTGAGATCTAGCATGTCCTCTCATACTTGGGGCAGAGTTTTTATTGCTACAATTTTTCGTTTTTCTTATTGCCTAATTATTTACATGTGTGTTTGATGTATTCTTTTTGTTTGCTTCGTTGTTTTTATGTTTGGTTGTCTATAATATGAGATTCATACATTGTAATTGTAATAATTGATAGTATAGTTATTTGTATTTTAGTATATTTTAGTTGGCCTTCTTTATATATATATATATATATATATATATATATATATATATATATATATATATATATATATATATATATATATATATATATATATATATATATATATATATATATATATATATATATATATATATATATATATATATATATATATATATATATATATATATATATATATATATATATATATATATATATATATATATATATATATATATATATATATATATATATATATATATATATATATATATATATATATATATATATATATATATATATATATATATATATATAAATTTTTTATCTCTATCCAGTATTACATAAATTCCCATTTTATTTACGAAATTGAATAAAATAATTATGAACTCTATTGTTTGATTTTAAATATATGCATCAAATTGTTAGATTTAACCTAATTAATTAATGATAAACATTTGTCTTTTGTAACCCTCAATGACTTGCTTGTTGACAAGAGTTTTGATTTTGAATGTGTACTTTTCAAAAGGGCCCTCTGCTAGTTGGTGATTTGATCGAATACCAAATTTAAAGAGAAAAAAAAAACTTAGCAAAAATAATTATATACTTAATAAATTATAATTGTTCTGCACGACCCATATTTGTCACGAAAACATTTTGATATGCTACCCAAGTATTCAATGCTAAAAAATAATATGCAAAAACTATAATAAATTTATTTTATGAAAATTATGAGTCGTATATTTAAAACATTCTCATTTTAATTTGGAAATATAAAAAATATAACTAATTGATTTTAACTAATTTTTAACTATGGCCTAGAAATATTTATTTTGATTAAAATATATATAGTTTTTTTGTTATCAATTAATTTGAAAATTTTACTAAAAATATTATTAAATACTTTGAAGTAACACAAAGATAGTATTATTAAAATAGTCTAAAGAAAAAATAGAAGAAAAGGTTCAAAACAACCATCTAAAACAACATATCATGATGAGGAAAAAAAACATAAAAGGCTAGCTTAGGAAATTTAGTTGTAGTAAGTTTTCTCAAATTTATAACTAATAACTAAATTTATTGATGGAAAAACATTAAATTAGATCATAGTACATTATTTATATATATTAAAAACTTATTTAACCCTGAATTATGATCCCTCAATACTTCTCAGCAACGTGAATGATGTGGTGCTATAGAACGCATGTCACGTCACCCTCGTATGGGTTAGTCCAAAAGCTATCAACTGTAGATTCTGTGTACGCATCTAGAAAGCTGCTAAAGTCATTATCAATAACAAAGCTTTCATAGGACATATGATTATGAGACACTAAGAAAGCATCATTAGAGGTGGTTGTATCATGAATATTGTTTTGCACTATTCCACTTGGTGTGTAGGAAGGGTCATCAAGCCAAAAACATTCATCCATAGATTCTACAAATGCATCTAGAAAACCAAAATCATCTTCAGCTGTGGAAGAGAATTCACTAGATGATGAAAATGGAGATAATGGGCCAGTGATGTCTGAGATTTGGGAACTAATTGAAGATTTGGTGAGTCTGGTTTCTTCATGTGAGATAGCGTTCTTCTGTTGAACTCTCTTCTTAAGTGAAGTATGCCAATGGTTCTTCACTTCATTATCTGTTCTTCCAGGTAACTCAGCCGCAATGACTGACCATCTGTTACCCAGATTTTTATGCATTCTGATAATCAATTCCTCTTCTTGTTGAGTGAAGTTCCCTCTTTTGATATTAGGCCTTAAATAATTCAACCACCTCAATCTACAACTCTTTCCACATCTGGAAAGACCTGAAATGAAAAACAACTTGATGAATAAACTACACAAATTTTCACATTCATCATAACTATAATTTCATGTTCTATATATTAAGTACCTGCAAACTTAGGGAGTTGGCGCCAATTCCAGCAACCATATCTAGTTACATAAGCAATTAGTTTCCTATCTTCCTCAGCAGTCCAAGTACCTTTCCTCATTCCACTTTTGTCACAAGAAGGTGTTCTTGCCATCTTAATTAATATTTTGAGAACTCAATGAGTTAGTGAGTGTGTTTCTTCGAGATGAAAGGTATAATGGTTTCTTTGTGTCTGACCATTCTAGTTGAATTTTAAAGGCGTTCACATCGAAAACGTGTTTTCATATACCAACATGTTTTATAATATGAATCAATCATAAGGGTCTTTCTCGGCAGATACTAGTAAGTAAGTAATTGCTATTCATGAATAGTACTAAAATTAGTCAAAATTCGTGGTTCTTGTTCCTTCTCACATAGAAAATGAGTAGTTAAACAATAGTTTCATTATCAGTCACATATTTCTTATCTTCCAAGAAGCTAACCGGAAACATTTCCCACGCTTCCTTTTAGCTTTGTAAATTAACACGTGAGGCAAATCTAGTAAAGGTAACCAACTCATCATAAATTACGGTCAAGCCATTATGACCATGTTGATGACTTTCTTTGGGTCTTCAAAATAGTTTATTTTACGAAGTTCTAAACAAATCCCACTCAGCAGCAAACATCTCATCAAGCCAACCCTTCAAATCACGAAGATTTCAATTACGAAATTCCTTAGACTTCTCCAACCCAAAGCCACTATCAAATCATTATCAATCACAAATTTGTAATTTCTTTATTATTTTAGTTTCGTCTTTCTTTTTTATATATTTTTAGATTAAAAAAAATTAAAGTGATATTATTACCGTAATTTATACTAATCATTGTGATATATATTTTTATTTTTAAAAAAATTTTAAATAGTTAAAATTTGACACTTTTTATATAATTATATATCACCATGATTGTTTAAACTAACCGTTGTAATATATTTTTAATTTTTTTTTTAATTTTTAAATGCTTAAAATCTAACTTTTTTTAATATAAAATTATATTAAGTTATTCATATAATTGTATTAAACGATCTGGTGGAATGACTTATTCACTTAAAGGAAACATGACTAACTAGTTTGTCTCTTCAGTTGCATTTGTTCATTTCCAACCTTGACAAAACAACGTCATTTTCAACCCTAGCGAAACAACGCCATTTTCAACTCTAACGAAACAACATCATTTTTAACCCTAACGAAACAAACCAATTTTCAACCCTAACGAAATAACATAATTTTCAACCAACAATTTGATCTGACTTCGTCGTTCTAGGCTTATGTATTGTCGAGGTGAAAGACGACACTAACTTCGTCGTTCTAGACTTACGTACCATCGATGAGGAAAATAAAGATTCTAACAAATTTTTTTTACTTATTCATCATGTTTCCGGTACGTAAACGTTTTTCCCATGCATCTACAATAAACTTCATTTTTCATTGTGTTGTTCATGTCATTGTTGTTGATGATACCATTGTTGTTTATATATCATTCTTGTTGATGATCACATTTTTGTTGATGATGCATTTGTTGTTGATAGTGTCATTGTTGTTTGTGTATTTGTTGTTGTTAATGCCTTTGTTTTTATGATGCCATTGTTGTTGATGATATCATTATTGATCATATTTCTTCTGGATCCATTCAACTTCTTCTAGCTTGGTCTCCATCAGGATTCTCATAGAGGGTATCTCTACTTCAATTGGGAGAACTGCTTCAATCCCATATTCCAAGGAGAATGGGCTTGCCCCCTATTGAAGTGCATACTGAGGTCTATGATGCGTCCGCAAGTGCACGGAAATATCGAAGTATAAAAGATTGTCGAACCCACAGAGACCAATGTCAACCTACCGTTATCTATTGTTACGACGTAAAACTAAGGCTAATGGAATTTGGAAGGTTAAATGCGAACGAAATTAAAAACAAAAGAAATAAAATTTTTTTTAGTTTTAGAAATATCTTAATAAGGGATATCGGTATGTAATGCTTTAGTTTTCAGGGATTCGACAGGTCGCCGGTGCTTTTTAGTCTTTGCAAACAGTTTTCAGGAGAAAATACTCGTTTAAAGACCTTTGCCTCACGGTGGTTGTTGACTCAAGTCATGACTCTAAGGCGGAATGTACGCTTTCGCTGTCCCATTTGGGGTTAAAATCACTTTTTAAAAACAACTAAGTTCTGATTTCTTTTAAAGCGCTTTCGCTGTACTTAAAATAAATGCCTAGTTTTTACTATCCGGTTTGAATCCCAGCTTTCGCGTGCCGATTCATACCTTAATGAATTTCCCACTTTCGTGGCAAAACTACTGTAAATAATTTCTCACTGCCGCGACGAAGGTTTATTCAGAAAGATTAGATTAAAAACTAACAGCCAGAAAAGTGTTTGTAAAAAGGATGGCACCGGTTACTATCGAATCGTACTACTAATTTATTACATACCGACTTATGCGGTTTAGCTAGACATGGTAATTAGTGCAAACGGAAATAAACATAAACAGCAAAATGATAAAACATACATTATGACAGAAAATAAAGTAATAATTCAATTAATAAGAACATGGAAAGTAGTACTGAAATTGAATAGTAGTCCTCCACAATATCGGCAGGATTCTACTTCGGCGAAATAAAATTGCAAAAATACAATGCTCTGAACTAAAGGGAAAACGGAAAGGAAATAAAAGAAATAAAATAGCTTCAGTATAAATTTTGGCAGCACTTCGATATGTCGAAGCCTCCCCCCAAAACTGTGAATCTAAGGCCCATTTATAAGAGATCTTTCATTTCTCAACTTCCAGAGATCATGGGTGAGTTATGGAGGGAGTGAGAGTAACTTCCAGTAGTGGACAGTGAGTGGAGAAAGTGTAGGAAGAAATTTAGTTGAGCGTCGTGCAGATTTCTGTGTTTGACGTTATTCTATTTTTAAGAGCATGACGATCGTGATGAATCTGTGACGGGCGTGACGAACGTGACGACCGTGTTGCTCTGTGACGAACGTCATGTATGTGACGACCGTGATGATGCTGTGACGAGCGTCACACGCGCAAAGTCCATTTCTCTGTTATTTTTTGTTTTTCTTCTCTCTTTTCCTTCCATTTCTTCTTCTTTTCTTTCTTTAATCCAAATTCTCCACAATCTGCAAAACAAAGTAGATTAACCGTATAATAAAACATAAATCAAGATAAATTAACAATAGTCACAAATAAATGCATGTAAGTCAAGGCAAATAAACGATATGATTTCGCGTTATCAAACACCCCCACACTTAAACCGTTGCTTGTCCTCAAGCAATCAACCAACATGGTAAAAAGAAATAAGGATAGTTCGAAACAAAGACACGATGAGACTCTAATCATATGTGGCTGCTAGGCTAATGTTAGATCGATAGGTACTAAATATCAATACTAAGGATACCATAACGAAACAATTTCAAAAACTCCCTACTTAGGAAAACCAATCGGAATCATGCCATTATAACTTAACCTATATCTCATGCTCATGCTCTCCTTCACCCCATTTCATTCTAGTGCAATCACATTAATCCCGTTATCCATACACATTCATGGCAAGTAAACCTGTTAGTGACTATGATCTCATTGTTATTTCATTTTTCTCTGTAAATATGCTTAAGCATCAATTTAACTTAAAGAGCTTGTATCGTTGGGCTAAGTGATCGGGTGAGGAGCACCTAACTTAGAAGGAACATGTCTTTTTATTCATTTTTTTCTTTCTTAATTTCTCATTTTAAACTAGAGATCATACACTTATTTGCATCGGTTTCTTACTTAGTGTGTTTAGAATGGTGCTGACTGCTTAAATAAACTACTTAGGGATTACTAAAAAACTGGAGCTTTAAGGTTTCAGCATAATGGGTACTCAAATTGATTTTGCATATTTAGGGGGTTAAGGGTGTCAGGATGATATCAATTTTATCAAAACTTTCCCAAGTTTTTCTAACATAGCCTGAATAGCCTATATACTCCCAGAGTACCATGTCATGAATCGAAGCAAAAATTTGTTGGAGGTTAGAATTTTGAAATTTTGAAATTTTGTTGGAGGTTAGAATTTTGAAATTTTGAAATTTTGGGGAAATTGAATAACAAGCGAAAATCACGCATAAAGACTCGACAGCACATGCAAAGACTTTGACATAACGCTAAAAACAGATAAAATTCCTAAAAGTATGAAATAAAACAATAAATCAAACTAAAAAGCGATAAATGAAAGCAGTAGAGTTCCTCCCCCACACTTAAACCAAACATTGTCCTCAATGTTTTAATAAAAGGTGGAAAAAGGAAAGATAGAACCTGTATGAATGCTACTCCGTGCCAAATCCTCTACGATCCTGCTCTTGACGTCCATGTCTTCGTTGATCACTTCTAATTCGGCGGCGAGCATTTTGAGATTCCTTCGTTTGTGTAATTTTAGAACCAACTCATCATGTTTCCCGCTTCCTGGAGGAAGTACTCATAAATAGTGTCACCACCAGCAGTGACACTCGTAGGAATGTCCGTGGGCACAGCTTATCGTCATGTAGAGAGTTTTCACCTAGATATGGCTAAAACGTAGCAAGCGATACATTTCTTTTATTTTCTGCAAATTTAAACAAACAAATTAAAATAAAGACCTCGTGGGTTGCCTCCCACACAACGCTCGGTTTGACGTCGATAGCTCGACGGTGAAGGAGTGCAAGTACTCATGGTGGTTCTTTCAAGAATGGTTCCTCGATCAAACTTTGAATAGTCTTCGGTTTCCATGGCCACTTATCAAGCCATCTCTCATATCCCTCACCTTTCCTTTTCTTTCTTCTGTAGGGTGGTTAATTGTTTTGACTTGTGGTGGTGGTTCTGGATCTATCCTGAGTATCAGTTTTTCAAATTTGGGCTTAGCTATTTCATCCACCACCTCAAAATTTAATCTTACCCTTTTAATAGTAATGATGACCCTAGTTTCATGGTCCGCGAATTTTCCTTTTTTAAGAAGGACCTTAGACAAAGGTGCATTGGTGTGGATATTTTCTAATTCCTCCACGTGTGTTTTGGATTGGGAGTCTACCTTAGCTTCCACAGCCAATTGGGGTATAGGGAGGAGTAGAAACAATAGGTGCTTCCTTCTCTACCTCTTCGAAAACCTCCCT